GGCACCAGTAATCGAAAATAAAACCTGAAGAGGTTCATTGATTGCAAGGCCAGATTAATCCTTACTAAAGACACAACTTTTTGCAGTGCATTAGCTCCAGCCTTGAGATTGCGGCTCCCCGATATCCGTGCACCGAGGATGCGTTCCATTCGCCGCGACGTGATGACTCCGACTGTGACGTGCCACAAATATCAATACGGGAGTGGAGCGGGCTTAAGGATGCAGGACTTCGTGGCTCAACTCCTCGTCTTGAACACGTTTCGCACGTCCTCAAGTGTTGTTAGTTTCATTGCCCCCTTTTACCGCCCAACCCCCTCCCCCCTCAACTTTGCACCTACCAACTTTGGGGGGATGCCGCTAAAAGCTCCACCTCCCATTTTTCGAGCGTCAGCAACTTTGTTTTTCGCATGATTTACCTCGCAGATCGGTCCGTATATTTGTCGTTTCGAAGTAATTTGCATATAATTTACAGCTGCTCGCGGCAGGCGGCATTGGCAACTTTTAAGGTATTCCTTTTCTCACACCTGGTCGCCGAAGACGACAAGCTCCTCGAACCGCCGACAAACATCCTGGGAGGCAAGCAAGCACTCGGAACAACAAACATTTTAGCGCCACGCCATGCCGGCGAATATTTTTAAAGTTTTTGACATAGTTTTTCTGCGGTGGCAGGCAGTTGGGCACGCCCACTTGAGCACGCCTCCCCCGCCTTCCCCGCCTCCCCCTTTTCCGCCGCACGCACTCGCGAATTTCCGCTGTTCGGAAAAGCAGACGTCTGGCTAATGAGCTGCAGGAAGCCCACCTGAAAATACAAAAAATACAAAAAATAAAAGGGGAAGCGTAATGCACTCGGCATGCATTTTTTATATCAACTTATAAGTGGTTCCGCCAAAATAGGAAAAAAAATGATAGAAAACAAGAACGGTGGAGTTTCCCAGGTGGCAGAATAGCAAAGGCGTGGCGCGTAGTGCGCTAATTTACCGAACGCAGGTGTGAAGCTAAGAAAAATGGGTTGAAAGTGGGTTAAAAGTAGTGGGGGCCAAGGTGGTTGAAGAGGTTAAAAGTTGAGGGATGCCGCAGGACAAACCCCTTCGCAGTTCAGGTGGTTAGTTAGTTAGAAATGTTCGCACCGCTATGTTTTGTGGGACCGGAATAATTAAAACGAGATCTTTTATTTTAGGAATACACGAAAAATTGGGAAAATAATTAATTTGAGATTCTGGAGAATAAAACTAGGACACACAACTTTGAAAAGCTAATGATGATTGGAACAAATTATTATGTTGATAGTTTATTTGTTTATTCAATGAATTCGAAAGCACAATAATATTTTATTTCAAAATCATTTGAAGGTAGACAAATTTTATTAGTGTGCACGTTGAATGGTAATTTTTTTTATTTAAAGTATCCATCATTATAAACAATAAACATAATTTATTTTCTGTTTAAAGGATAACAAGTCGAATGTCAATATTTATGTAGAGCTTCCCAGAACACTTTATTTGGTGTTCAATTTACAAGCAAGAGACAGAAATTTGATTGGATGCCAATTGAATACATCGCATTTAATATAATTTTCCTAGCTTATTGGACTTTAAATAGAACGCATTGAAGTTCGAGCGAGTTTCCTGTGCGCGGAGCAGATAACTTTTGACATTTGAATTTGAATTGCTATATTTAACTTGTTCAGCATTTTGGGCTATCTAAAGCTCCACTCATATTTGTGCTTTCTGCTCCTTCCTCATTAGCTTTCTTCCAAAATTTCACAATTTCTTTTCTATCCTTCTTCTTCTTTTTATGTGGCTATATCTCATTCTCCTTTGCTATCTGGCAGTGAGTGCCTTTTTTTTTTTTTTGGTTTTCGGCGCTCGTTTAGCTATTCTGTTGAGCAAAATTAACTGCTCCTGCCGCTGCATAAAATTTAAATTTTATTTGCTTTTATTGTCGCTGTTTTATTTTATTTCGTTTCGTCGCGTCCAGCCCCGTTTTATTTTTGCAAGTTTGCTTGTTTTTCCTCGGGCAACATTCTATTTTTGGGTGTGCGCATCATTTCCATATCAATAACAGCTGGACGCCGAAATCGCGGCACTTCTCCCAGGATATCGCTTGACCCGGTTCTAAAAAAACTGAAAACCGGGAAACTTTGAAACCGGAGCTCTTGGCATCACTAAAATCGCATTTGCCTTCGGGGATTATTTGCTATAATTCATGCTGTCAATGCAAATTGAAATTGTGTCACGCAGTCAAGTCGGGCAGTCATCTAGTCAGCCAGCCATTGGACGTTCGCATTTTCCATTTTCCGCTCTCGCCAATTTTTCCCAGCTTGCCTTTTCGTATTTTTTTTTTTTTTTTTTATTCAACACACCGCTCACCGCAATTGTTGGCCAGCTTCCATTTCCCTGCCGGTCCTGCCGGCGAAATCTCAAAACACAAATGGATTTTTAAATTACCCTCGTGGCACTTTTCGACTCCTGCCTCATCGCAGGACGAGGGCCATAAAACTCAGCTCGGTGCTCGGTGCTCTCTGTTCTGTGTGCTGTGTGTAGGTGCATTGAATTATCTGCGACATTCTGTGCAGTTGGTTTAATTCAGCAAAATGCATAGATATGAACGAGGGGGATCATAAACTATGCATGGGCAGCGTTTGTCAAGCGTAAGAACGCTCAAATTGCTCCTCTGAAGAAGCAGCCTGTGGCTCCTCGGCTTGCGCTTTTCGCTCGCAGCTCGCAGCTCGTCCTTTGCATTGTTGAGTTATGTTTCTTGGTTCGCAGGACCCCCATCCTGACCACCCCACGCCCACTTCCCGCCTCCCCCACGACGGCCATTGAGGTTCAGTGAAGCGGCAGCATTGCTCCGACGTCCTTTGCCCCTTTTTCCGGGTTTCCCGTTTTTATATCGCTCGCAGGCGGCACTTGCATAAACCAAACGCAGAGACAAGTGTCTTCGTCCTGCAGAGAGAGAAATAAATCAGGACATTGTGTAATATTGTTACTGCATTCTCCCAGCAAATTCAATCAAAACATAAACAAGCAACTCTAACGAGTTTTCGGGGTTTAGCGCGCAGCTAAAATAATATTTTGATGTATGGCATGCACAAGGATTTGTTATTGGACTTTTATTTTTGTCTTAAAAAAATGTAATTCATGAGAATTTATTTTTATTGAAAAACAATTTTAACAAGATCCAAAAACAAATTTAAAGTTATGCGGCGTCACTTTTAAATCCATGAATTATTAATTTATTTATATATTATTTTATTCAGCAAACATCAATTGCTATTCTTTTAACTATTGAAAGTTGTTGTCAAATATTTAGTAGGGGAACGGGAATATTAATGCAACAGTTGCTGTTACTATTTTAAAATACTCAATCAAACTAGGAGATAGCAAAAGCCAGACCAAAACTAGCATGAAACAAACAAAGTGATCTTTTCCCGCAGTGCCTGACTTTCTTGGCTGGCTCGCTGAATTTTGCAGGACGGGCATCCTGTGACCTGAAGTCCTGTCTCCTCGTTTCGATCTCCGAGAAGGGCCGCCGCCTTTCGACGTGTGTCAAGTGAGTGCATTTGTTTAATGCCAGCGCCCAGTAATTGGAAAGCATGTCGAACATGTCGAATTTATTGCCCCGCAAAAAGCACACAAATACAAATTGAAACGGTTACAGATTACGGATGCAGCTCCACATGGCCACAAGGTTACGTATGTAGATACGTAGATACAGATCAATGGGCGGAATTCGGAGCATTCCGAGTCAATGGCTTGGAAGAGCCCCAACCAAATGCAATTAATCAAACGCAAGGGGCCAATGTCAATTACATGCAAGAAGCCCCCTTTTCTTGGCCCCTTCCCGAAAATCCCTTTCGAATCGTTCCTGTTCGTAGGGATTCGGGCCATGTCAGCTGGCCAAAGGCGGGATGTCGGCCGAACGATGTTGTCTTGGCCAACACCTTCCTGCCCACACACACACACACTCACACACACACACAAAACCGAGAAACGAGAGTAACCTATAAATTTCGGCCAACACACACATCGACTTGCATTACCATTACCAACGGCTGTTGTCCTTGTGGGCCAAAAGCGTGTTCGGTTTCTGGCTCCCAACATATGGTTCCTAATTCAGCCGCACTTTCCCAACTAAATTGCATTAAATATTTTGCATAATTCGGTAAATGGAAATCTAATCGAATAGCAGGCGAGAAATATTGAAAATTCCTATCATTGTTATTTCTAAATGGTTTCGTAATTGAATGTGCTGATTTAACAGGTCATGACTTTTGAGTATCGAAATAACAACGAAATTGACTAATTCTAGCTTTTAATTTTTGCCAAATTTTTGATAGTTTTGAAACGTACGTTTCTCATTTAAAATAATAAGTGGAATCTATTTTAAAAATATACAGTTAGTTGAAATTCAATTTAATACAATACCGATAGACATAAGAGTATGTTTGCATATGCACTTATTAATATGTAGTGGGTTTAATCTAATTAAATGCATTTTTAAATATTTGATAAGTTTTAGTGGTAAATAAACTAAAATGTATTCTGTTCTAGTGACATAGAAAATTAAATAATCAATGCAAAAGAAAATGAAAACTTCATTTAAATTCGATGTATGTCATTAAAAAAGTATGTTTATAAATAACAATTTTAAAAGAGTTTTTTAAGTATTTGTAAACCTATATCGGTATGATTTTGGAGATGTGTTTCCGTATCACTAAAGTAAATACCATTCTAAATGTTACTGATTATAAACGTAAAGTCCTTAAAATCTTTTTCCAACAAAGTTTGTTTTGATCCGATATAAACACTGTTGGGTGCAGAGACCGTCCTGTGCTGCAGCAACATGTTGCGTGGCCATCGTCGATGTTGCATCAACATGGAGTCACCCGCCCGCAGAAAACCACCCCCGAAAGTATCCACCAGATACACGAACTGGCTTCGGCTGAGTTTCAGCTAGGAACTCAGTTTCAGTTTCTGGTTTTGTCAGTTAACGCTGCGACTCCGGACCGATTGGACGCGTTTGAGCGCTTGGCCAAGAAAAAGCGAATATTTTCCGCTCGGGGCTACGCGTGCGCGTCTCTGCAAAGTCAAAATCAAAGACAAACGCAAAACCAAAAGCCAAAGGCAAACGTAAACGCAAACACAAAGTAACAACTTCGACGGTCGAAATTACCGGTTTTTTTTTCGCCAGCACTCCGGCTCTCTGTGAATTTTTTGCGCGCGGTCTTTCCTTTGGCTGCTCTTTTCCGAAAAGTGCGTTGGCTTTTCCCAAACAGCTAAACAACACCCCGCGCTTTCCACCGCGAAAATACATAGCACACCGGTTGGGGTCATAGTCTGTTTACTATTTCGCACGGAATTCCCCGAATCCAAATAGTTTTATCAGTTTAACAGTGCAAATGTGAGGCCAGCCAGACTCTGGCGAGTGCTAATTATAATATATTGTGTTAATAATAATAATAAATAAAAAAAAAAAAACAAGTTGCAAGAGGAAAACACGGATGCGCGAGTGTAAATGCCATATTATAAATATTTAACAATGCAGCCGTGCAGCTAAAGCGGATTATTGGCCACCGACGCGTGGAAATTCAGCAGTAGAGCAAACAAAGGCCTGTAAGTTCACACGTTCCAGCCAGGATACGATATATCCGTGTGCAAATATATGTGGATATCCTTGTGGGCGGCATGCGGCTGCATTCTAATGGGGATTGTCCGACACATGACACCTGATGTACGACATATGACAGGTGTCGTTCCAAAAGGATACTATATGTCCTAGGAAAGGCTTTAGCTATGTTAGACATATTTTGGATTTAGAGTGTTGTTTCTCCTGGAGAAGAAAAATTCATTTCTAGAGGAGGTTTAACTGTTTAATACTTCTTTAAAATATTTCTGTATGTTACAACAAGGTACGATAAACTTTATGTAGCTTCAAACATTTTCGAATCAAAAATCGTTATACAAGTTGAAAGCTTTTAAAATGACGGTACAAAAAATAAAGCAATTTAAACTCCCTCCAAATACTTCCGATTTAAAACGCTCTTAATTAACCGCTTTAAACTCTACGGCTTCGGCAATAAAATAGAGTTCCAATTGGGCCTTTAAACCTAGGGCCTCTTTCTTGGCCGGCTCCAATTAGCAGCTGGCCCAAAACAGTTGGCCAATGAAGCCCAAGTCAGCCGTTCACACAGTGCAACTGTTAAAGTTCAGAGTCGCCACAAAAGATACAAACGCGAAGCTCTAAGCAAACATAAAACTGAATACCAAATGAGACAACAAAAGGAGGAAGCACAATAAAAGTCACATTAAAACGTGGGGTCCAAAGACGAAAGGGGAGAGAGAGAGAGAGAGATGGAGAGTAAAAGGAGGAGTAAAGTCGGGTCAAAACATAACCGAAATCCGAATCGGGGAATCAAATGCCTGCACGAGATACAAATGTATCTGTATCTGAGCATTGCAAGTGCTTTGTTTTCCCTGCATTTCACACTTGTCCATGGGAGTTTGCTTTTGTCTGTGAGCTTGTATTTGCGCCCTTTGTCTGGCGCATAAATATTTCAGCGGGCCGGGACAAAACTTATCTGCTGGATACATTATTCACTCGACAATTTTGTCGGATTGCCAATTTATTAAGATACGTGTCCACTTTTCCAAGGCCATTAACGGCGCCTTTGTTTTGTTTTCGATGGCGAAGATAGTCTCTCACATTTATGTTTTATGATTTTCTAGTTGGAATGCGGTGTGTTCGGTGCAATTGGAAGAGCCAAGTCAAGTCCATTTCGAGCCTGCCAGTGGCAAGTAGCTGAAAATTGTTGTAAGACTGGTTTTCAGCTACTGCTCCTCGTTCCCTCCTTTTTTCTCTTTTTTATTTTTTTTCTCTCAACGTGTTACCAACCTTTTTCCATTCTTCTTGCGGCTGGTGCACAGAAAATAAAGAAAGATTTCTTTGGCTTGTAGTTAAATAACATACATATTTGATATACAAGTAAATACCTTTTCATATTTGCATATTTGTAAAACAAAGAAAGGTAAATAGCCAAATTCTTTACCAACAACACTAAGTTTCTAAAAATAAATATGAATAATAATTATTTTTAAAAAATGTGTTTATTGTTGGCACTTATTCTTTTTATCAATTAAATTCGACTTGCCTTCAAGGTTCTTTTATTTAACGACTTATCAAGACGTAGCAAACAAAGTAGAGATGTTTATAAACAAAAATGTGCTTAAAAGTGATTTATTTCCTTCAAACATTGAATTGTATGAAAAAAAGGTGAAAATAAAATGTTTTACTGTGCAAGAAATGGGTTTGTTAGCGCCTGGCTCTCTTAGTGGTTTTGCAGCTGTCCCGACCAGGCCGAGAGCAATCCACCACCGGCAGGCAGCTCAACTGCAGGCCATCATCCTGGCCAGAACGCATCCTCTCCTTCTTCGGTAGCCGCAACCTGTTTCTCATCGCCTTTTTTCGAACTCAAAAAGATCAACTCAGACTTGGCCAAGGAGTCAACGAAAAAAAGCAGATTTTTTCCGGCTTCTACTGCCGCATTCACTGTGAGTTGTCAACTCATCCGGCGAACTAACCTCAGTCAATCCATACGGGTTTCCAGCCGGCAAAAGAAAACTCGTTATGACTCTTGATTAATTAACATTTGAATGTTGTCTCGTGCCAGTTAATGTGGTTGATTTGTGGCCGGTTCCATCAAAACATCAACAGTCTATTGTGGAATTGTGGAATGTATTAAAAGCGTCTTAAGAGCCCATTGCCAAAAGGGATTTGCATGGCAAGGAGTTGGATGGATTCGTGTACTCACTCGATGTTCATTGATGACGTTGGCGGTCTACATTACATTTTTTTTTGTTTCTTTCATGGCTTTGTTGTGGGCTCTCTTGGCCACAATTCACAGCCATCCACGAGGTACTGCGTAGGCAATGGCCCTCTTGGCCGCACTCAAAACTGGTTTCGGCCACATTCAAAATTGTTATGTTAGAATAAAAGCTTAATTGATGCATATACACACGTACGGTTTAGTTTCATACAGCAGCCGCGGCCCACAGATACAGCCGAAAGTCCAGATACAGATTCAAATCCAGATACAGATATGTAGTTGGAAGCAAATCCAGACTCAGCTGGAGCGGTTATGTCATGCGGCGTCTAACTCATGATTGATGGCATTTGGCTGCGTTTGTAACTCTTGGCTCCTCCATCGAAATTATATATTGATTAGGTTTGCTTGATAATTGTGTTTCTGTTTCCAACAGGTGGAATGGTCAGAAACAGGGAATGAAATATGAATTCTGGCTGTGAACTTAGATACCAGTCAAATATTTACACAGCTCCCTAGTGCTATCGATCAAGTATGGCTTAAATGCCCTAACTGGTGTAATTATTTTGCCCTCAACAAAACAACTAAGCTCTATATGTTTTTAAGAGGCTTTCAAATACTTTTTATCCCAGTCTGTATTTAATAAAGTGCTTTGAGGCATAAACTTGACTTGGCCAACTTAAAAGACCAATCATTTCTCAAATACATGAAATAAATGGAATTCGTTTTGTATTTAATTGAATGCCGCCTTTTGGCAAGAGAAATAGCCAAAAATAAATGAATTCACCACATTTTGGCATCAATTAGGATGCGACCGAGGAATTTAAGCTGGCAGGCTCAAATAAATTTGCAACTCGTTTCGAGAGCTGAAAAACTAAAATCTCGCATGTTCAAACCAACCATAACGGTGCGGTGGTAACCCTGTCCACGGTTGATTGACCAAACTGATTGATTGACAGCCCTGCACACCAAGCTCCCCCATTCGATGTTTTAGTTTTTTCTAAATTTACTATCGCGAAAAGCTGAGGGAGATGGGAAATTGGGTTGGGGAAATGCATGAATAATGGAGCAGAAAGGATGCTCTCCTTGGCCAAATGGGGAATTCACACCTCGCTGGGATCGGATGGGTGATTCAGTGGGATTCGAGAGTGTACGAGAGACCTCATTAGTGTTAATTCAATTAGAGGAGCCAAAGTTTGTGGCACTTTGGCTAATGAGGCATGTCCAAGCATTCAGCACATGCCCCAAAGCCATAGCACTCGATGTGTGCCGTTCATTTGCATGCTAGAAATTTGTTTCAATTGCATTAATTAGAGTTATCAATTTAGATGGGCGGATGGTCGAATGCCCCTAAGCAGATCAGGCTGTCAAATTAAGTGAAAGACGTTGGGGTTTCCATTAGTGACAATCGGCCTCTATGTATTTAGTTTACTTGTGTTTCACAGACAGAGGATTAATTGCAAGCTTTCAATTAAATAGGAAAGCTAACCTCATACCAATTTGCTGGTTACATTTTACACAATTTATTAAAGTGCTACATTACTTATGAAATAATACAATTTGGGAGTTAAATTAAATTTTATTTTTTTAACTTTTCGTGTTAAACATATATGTTTATTTGTTAGTGTTGCGAGAAAACAAACTATTTTTATTGGTTGCGGCTTTTAGCAATTGCGTGGAATTTACTCGTCAGTTTGACTAATTTTTGACTATGAGAAATTCAAATCCAAATTGATAAATCTAATTGTTTATTTATTTTAAAAGGTATGATAAACGCTTTTGATGAATTTAACTTATTTTTATTTAGCAGTAATTGTTTGTGGTTACGTTTTACGTATGTATTAAGCATTGTTAGCTAAACGTTATTTACAAAATTAAATCTAAATTGAAATGCATTCATTAATCCTTTAACTCAATCAACAAATTCTTAAGAAGTTGGCAAGGAAATCATTAATATAACAGCATTTGAGCACATGTATTTTAATTAAATGTGAATATTTAGTGTAACCACAAGCAAACCAATTTATTTGCATTTTCCTTAAAATTGAGAACTCATTGTTAAATAACTTCAGTTGGTGAAGATGAAAGCAAAGATTTTGCGAGTTATGGTTTAAATACTTTGGGCGTGATTTGTTGAATATTCCTCAGGCATTTTCGGCACTTGGCTTTTCACCCGACAAATATCTCTAATTGGCCGACAGCAAAAGTCGTCGCCGCACTTCATTTGATTAAAGCGACTCATCGGAATCATCAGTTGATATCACATGTTTGTAATGCAGAAACTGCATCAATTACGCTTCATTAGAGTTCAAAATGAATGCAAAAGCAGGAGGCAGCCACATCGAGTGCGGAGTGGAGCTATAATTCATTGGCTTAATTAAGCTGACCGACTTCCCGCCCCCCCGAAGTGCATCATCCAGTAGTAACTTTATCAAATTGCCAGACGAGTGAAAGCCAAAGTAGCAACAAAATCAGTCGAGCTGAGTTTACTATACATCATCGCCGGCTCGATGTCAGGCAAGTTTGCTTATCAAAGTTGGCTCAGTTGGGGGTGTTCCGAACAAAAAAAAAGGGTAGCAAATACACCCCCTTTGCTCCAGAGTTCTCCCCTCTAATTTATCACAATTTGCATGTCAGTCACGCTTGTATATATAAATTGCATACAATTTATCAGCCCCCCCGCCCCCCTGTCATAGAAAAACTTGTGGAAGCCAGCTTCCGACTATATCTTTTTGTCCGGCAGTTGACCCATTTTCGTTCGACTTTTTCCGGGAGAGCGTAACACAATTATGC